AACAAAAAAAAAAGAAAACCAAAAGTTGCGTCTTGTGTTGCGTGAGAACGTGGGTGTGGTCACGTGAAGCTTTACACGTGCTTGTGGCCCCACACTTCATCCGTGTTCACAATTCTCCACCTCGGCGAAGTTTTCTCAAAACTGAGCCGACACCGACCAAACCAAATGTCTCACTTGTTGTGTCTAGTACGAAGTGAAACAATTCACGACAACGGACTCAATCCATAACAAGTCGAGAACCCAAATGAGAATGCGAACACTCTCCAAATGTCGGTATCAACTCACCAAATCGATCTCACCCCCATCAAAATCCAACCCGGCTGTATCATAAAGACTGCCTACGTATCCTCTTGCCCAAGGAATCAAGTCGAACGTAGTTCACCCAATTGGCCTCCAAATGCCTCAATCCACTAGAAGAGTTCGCAACCCTTCTCCATTATCATCAACTCTGCGGCTGATAGCACCTCCAATGGCCTCAAACACCTCCACCTGAGGTGAACCAATGGTCATATCCAAACTACATCTATCAGCTGTACTCGAATCAAAACCCAACTCATCATCTGCATCCAAAACAAATTGATCCCTTAACTGTGTCACCTCAGCTGGAATCCTAAATGATGCAGTATGATCTGGAGTAATCTTTACCCAATATGGAGTAGCATCACTCTCCACCCGCTGTGATACAGCTAAGGTCTGTCCAAAACTCTCCACCTGCTGAGAGTTAAATAGCTCCCTCATCGAAGCCTCAACCACAGTGACACTACCAGACCTATCTTCCATTGGAGTTTTACCTCCAATCGCAACAGTTAGCAATTCTTTAATAGGATGACTCAAATATGTCGAAGCCTCAGTCCAGAACCTCTTCTGTAAACCATTGCTCGACCACAAACACCGATCCTCCTCCAGTAAGGCACGGTTCTCCAAATTTGTCATCCTATCTAGCTGCCCCAAGATTTCCTTTCCAACGAAGTGTCTCGCAATGCCGTGAGCTCGGCTCTAATACAGAAATAGGTCCATCTTGTACCTCCCACCAGAATGGAGTACCTTCACCTTTCTGTCTATCACACACTTCTTCAAACCGTTAGAGACTACTAGGACTTTATCCATAGGGGATTTGGTTGTAACCCAAACACGCCTAGAACAGCCACCAACAAAGGAAACCAAACACCTATTACCTCCCAATGATGCCCTCTTGGAAGGCCCCCAAACATCCACATGAACTCCTCCAGAACGACCCTTAGCACGGTGAATAGAGGTGCCAAACTTCACCTTGGTCTTCTTGCTCACATCAACATGTTCACTGGACTTCAAACTGCAGGTCTTCGCACCCTCTTTCAATCTATGCGAGGAATCAATATTGGAATGGCCAAGCCCCAAATACCGCAGTCTAGTCGAATCAACAGAAGTCGTCAGCTCTTCACCTGCCACTATACCTCCAGTCAAGTAATACAGGTTATTTCTCTTGACGTACTTCATCAAAATACGAGAGTCTCTCGCAATCTCGAGAACCATGTCCTCAACACGAACCTTCAGACCCTCTCCAACCAAAGCTCCAATCGAGATCAAGTTCTTTCTCAAAGAAGGAACATATCTCATATCATTTAACTCCCTAACAGTCCCGTCAAACATTTTGATGCGAATTCTTCCTATCTAAGGATCTGGCATGCACGGTTAACAGCCATGTACACCACACCACTATCCACCAGCTTCTCAAATCTGGAGAACTATTCCCTTCTAGGGCACACATGATAGGTCGTACCACTATCCAACATCCATTCAGATTCCTCCGAATAGCTATCTGTAGGACTGATAGAAAGCGAATAAATAGAAGAGTCAGAATTATTACCATCCGATACGATGTTTGCTTCTGATGATGGTTGCTTCCCTTTTCCCTTCTGTTTATTCTTCATCCATTCGTCGAGCTTTGGGCAGTCTTTCTTCCAATGACCAGTCTCCTTGCACCAAGCACACTGATCTTTTCCTACTCTAGACTGTGACTTCCAATTCTTTCGGTTTGGACCCTTCCCTCTTGCGACCAACGCCTCCGCTACCGGCTCAACCGAAGCCTCCTTATCCTTCTTTCGAAGCTGATAATTCACAAGTGCAGCAGTGACCTCACTATACGAAAGTGATGCCTTCCCATTAATCAGAGTAAGAACGAAGGTCTCATATTCCTCGTCGGGCAAGGAACTCAACAACAGCAACGCCTTGTCCTCATCTTCAATCTTGACATCCACATTCGCCAAATCCGCAAGAAGCTTTGTGTAGTGGTTCATGTGATCTCTAATGGAGGTTCCCTTCTTCAACTGGAAACGATAAAGTCTCCTCTTCAAATGCAAGCGATTTTCCACACTCTTGGTCAAATACTTGCTTTCGAGAATCTCCCAAATCTTCTTCGCAGAAGTCTCATTCATCACATCATATTTTAGATCTTGAGTCAAACAAGACCTAATCACACCACACGCCGTTCGATTCATTTTCTTCCAAACATTCTCTTCAATGTCATCTGGCTTGCCATCTAACTCCAATGTATCCTCCAAATTCTGCGCGTTCAGCGCATCCAAAACCTCGCATCTCCATAATCCAAAGTTGTTTGTGCCATTAAATTTCTCCACATCTATCTTCATAGAGTGGATATTCAAACTCTGAATGGTCTTCGCGCCAGAAGCACCGCCCTCGACACCCGAAGCACCTTCTTTCCCCGACATCTTACGCACCAACGAACAAAGAATAGATCCAAAACTGAAAGATAGAGTCTTTACCAAAAGATCTCACCTTTATCACCAACCGAAGCCCTAGACGAGCCTCCAAATTGATCTACTCCTCCAAATAGCTCAAGCGTAGCCCGAGCTCTGATACCACTTGTTGTGCGCAGCGGGAATTTCGACAGAGTTTCTGGTGCACAATAAGAGAGAAAGATCGATAAGAATTCTTGTTTCTCAAAGGAAACAAGAATCTGAAGCCTAATATCTCATCAAAGTGGGATATTAGCTCTTCCTCTCGTCAGCTCTAGGACTGCGCGTCTAGGGATCCTAAAAACTATTACAATGGCCACAAACTCAAACAAACCAATTTTACGTGGTTCGGCAAACTGTCTACGTCCACGGGGCAAGGAAGAGGAGATCTACTATTAAAGAGAAAAAGAATACAATGGGTTTACAACTCTCACAATCTAAACCCTCAAATAGGCTCCTTGCTTTTCTTCACAAGAAATGGTCAGCATTCAAAAGCCTTTTTCTCTCTTCACGAAGCCCTAAGATTTTACCAAGCTGCCTGCTCTTTTGCTGCAGCCGCAAACACCAATTAGTCACCACCCTTAAAGACTCCATGCTCCTGCTCCCCTCTGCCTTCGCACACAAAATATAAACAGCAGCCGCCTTTTTTTTTTTGTCTGCGTTTCTCTCCCTTCCTGTGCTCACGAAACCCTAGAATCAAAAGCAAATATATAGGCTGCAAGATACGTGCTATCGGGTGGCCCACGCGGAAACAACAAAAAAAAAAAAACCAAAAGCCACGTCTTATGTTGCGTGAGAACGTGGGTGTGGTCACGTGAAGCTTTACACGTGCTTGTGGCCCCACACTTCATCCGTGTTCACATTCTGTTGGTCCAATTGCTTCATGATCGCGATAGCAACGCGTTCTACATCAATGTCCTGACGCATTTTCGATTGAATTGATCAGATCCGACTAGACTTAGACCCCTGATAGCGGCAACGCCCAGCGTCATCACTTTCTTTAATCCAATGCAAGATGCAGAGTTGTCCACCAGACTAGACCTGACCGAACATCACCCAATCTTGCCCATCCTCGTTCGGGGCCTTGGGGCCCATCGTCACTTCATCGAGTTCGGCTGAACTTTTCCGTTGGATCCTCTTGTTCTCTTTCACCAAAGAGACAAGAATGCTAGGGGCCCATTCACGTGACAGTAAAAGATAAATTATGGCAAGAGGCAAGTAAAGTCCAAAGCTGTAGCAACAAACAAACCCTACCCTTATGTCAGCCATACAGTACTCTTTGTTTAAATACAGCTAGCCCTCATCTTTTTTGGTTCACGAGCTACCGCATGAAATACTACAAGACATGATGCCAAGAATTTCAATGTGAACTCATTCCTCAAAAGAGAATAAAAGTGTAACTTCTTGATACATGTGAAATCAACAAAATCTCAATGATTGAACTCATAATTATTAGATCATCTATGAAATGACAAAGGGACTCATAATTCATACATATCAATACTCAGAGTTTGCTCGTTAAATATGAGATCATACATGCATTACCTTCTTTACAGTTGTATCTGCGCGTACATCTGTCAAGGATATGTACACGATAAAGAAGGTATTGTCTAGTTTTAAGTAGATGGTAATTGTTGGGCTGAGACATGCATGATTCACTGTGAGATCGCGATATTATTATAAGAATAAAGAGGTAGTATTTAGTCATAATTTGCGATGTGGCATTGTATTGTTATAGGACAGTTAGTAAGTTTGCAAGTTTGGATAACCAACCCCAAATTCTTTGTTTATCAATATGTTCGAAGTACTTGTGTGTATAATAAAAGGCTACTAAGATTAGATTAATGTAGGTTGTTGACAAAATTATATTCGGGCATTTCGTTATTTAACTGTATGATGCTTTTTCATTTTAACGAAGAGCCAAAAAGATTTTGAGTATCCACTATTAGCTTGATCTTTCAAAGTTACAATTCCTTAATTTCCAAGATAATTATCAATATTTTTCATGAAAGTAATATGCTTAATCTATGTTTGACATTCACAATAATGAATAATTTTATGTTAAATAATTATTAATGATTATGATTAGAATAATGAAGATATATCTATAAAAGATTAAGATCCCACCATAAGCTGACTTCCAACTAGAAACGTCTATTTGTCAGCATCCTTTTACCATCTAATCAAGTCAACTATCATTCACCATTAGACCCATTAGTACACTTGTTAGTCTCAAAATCACTATATATGCATCCTCATCAGTTACCCCAAAGTACTCCATCCTCGCCAACACCCCCCAATGGCCTCTGTCCTCCCCGTCATCCTCACCCTACTCCTCTCTTCTCCTTCTTCCTCTCTCTCAACCCACCCCAACCCCTCCTCTCCCCTCCCTCCCTCTAACCTCATAACATCAACATGCAACGCCACAACCTACTACGATTTCTGCGTCTCCTCCCTCTCCTCCTCCTCCTCCAATGCCACCTCCGTCAAATCCCTATCTACCGTCCTCATCTCCCTCGCCATCGCCAATGCCACCAATACCTCATCCTTCGCTTTCTCCCGCTCCAAATCCACCTCCAAGAACCCTACCCTCTCTTCCCTCTACCGTGCATGTGCGGAGAAATACACACATGCTCGCGAGTCGCTTCAGTCCTCGCTTGATGAGATTTCAAATGAGGAGTATGATTATGCATTTGTTCATGTGAGCGCTGGTGCGGAGTACGCTAACGTGTGCCGTGTGCTGTTCAGGAGGACTAATGGAACGGTGGTGGTGTATTCGGTTGAGATGGCGAAGAGGGAGGAGGTGCTCGAGAGGCTCTGCGCCGTAACGTTGGATGTTATCTCGCTTCTTGGTTGAGATGTGGACCATGTGCCCTGTTTCCTTTGATTTGATTGTTATGATTATGATCATGATTATGATTAATTATTATTATTGTTATGATTGTTTTGGGGTACATTTTGTAAGAGGGCCATGAATAGACCTTCGTTTGCAAAGTGCGATAGGGTTTTTTATAGGAGAAATGTTGCAAGAGAAAGTGAACGTGTCGGCGTTATCTTTTTGGATGTTTAATTTAGAGGCTTGCACATGAAAATGGCTCAGAATTTGCGGGTCGTTGAGGAAAGAGGGGCTCTAGGCGTTCTACTGTTTAGATCCCAACGGACCCAACCAA